AAACATTGTTTTTCTCTTAGTGCCTTGCCTTAAATGTAACCGTTTTTTGTGTTCCCCTACATCTCTGTATGTCCACTTAAACTCTCCGTGTCTCCTTACACATTTTCTTAAGCGTAATCATTTATATTTTTTCAGTTTCTCTGTGAATCTCCTTAAATCTCCCCATGTCACCTTATCATTATTTTAACATTTCTCTGTATATCTCCTTAAATCTCCCCATGTCACCTTATCATTACTATTAATTTAAATTTTTTTTGCACATCTCTTTAAATCCCAGCAAGTTTCCTTGTATTTTCATGAATCTAATTATATGTCCTTCCTTTGAAAATCATATTGCTCCCAAAGTCTCTGTGTTAACTTGTAAAATTACTTTATGCAATATTTCCATATATGAAATGATGGTTTAATCCTTTATATGTCAATGTACAAGCACTCACACATCCATTCAGCATTAGTTAGCATGAGTTAAACCTGTCCACTGTGTACAGAGGTAAATCTGTAAGTGCAAACGTGAGAGGGCTGAACACATGACGAGTCCTCTCATTTCGGAAACAACATGCATAGAAACCCTTCAAATAAAACCCCAGCAACTAAACAAGAACAGCTTATTTATACAGCAAACACACAGTTTCAGACCACAGAGAATAGAGTATGCTGGCAATATCTGGTGAAGTATATGTACACATATCTGAACGTCTAGCTGGGGTGGTTTTGGATTCAGAGCAAAGTTGAAGAGAGTCCTGAGATATTTTTGTCTCATGTCTGAATTCACACTAGCAGCTTATATACATAAAATTATCAATAATGAAAAACAATCATCTAAAGGACCAAATAATAGTTCACTTTCTTCCCATTTTAAAATGCTTTTTGAAACACTGTCCCTGCATTTGCAGACAAAACACAAGTGTGAAAAAATCAAAAAATCTGACATCAACTCCACATTTATGAGCTGCTCTTCTGATTTCCCCACTGATTTCCACAACGTCCACTTGAGAGAATGATGTCGGGATGAGGTCATTGGGTGACCTGGAAGCATTTTAGTTTGAAATCACACTCCGTGTAGCAGAACGAGTCTAGTGGTTTTGTGTGTTAGTTTGTGTAATCAGTGGTTTAGTCTCTCTAGTAGGGCGTGAAGCGGCTGTAGCCTCCTCTGTACAGGTTCGCCTGCAACATCAAAGATGACAGAGCACCAATCAGAGTCAAGCTGGTGGTCACGGCAACGACGGAATTCCTGCTTCTCAAATTTCCTTCCTTTAGAAATCTGGCATTGATATAAAGGAATAGTTCACTCAAAAAAGAAAGTTTGTTTGTAGAAAAGTTTTTTTTTCCTCTCAGTAGAACAGATTTGGAGAAATATATCGTTACATCACTCACCAATGGATCCTCTGTAATAAATGGGTGCCGCCAGAATGAGACTCCAAACAGCTGATAAAAAACATCACACTAATCCACAAAAGTCCATCTCCTGTTGTCTCTCATATCAAAACCCACCCACATATTTGTTTAGAGCCGTTTTGGCCTGTTTTGGTTTGCAAACAGAGCTTGATCTGTGCATATTTCTCTCCTAATTCAGACAAGGCGACCTTTTCACTGGGAAAGCAATATTATGGATAGAGGACTATTTTAGCCAGTTTGAAGTTAAAACATCTTAATGATGGACTTATTTGTTACAAACATGTAGCTTTTCTATTCACAAGACATTAACTGATGGACTGGAGTGGTGTGGATTACT